TCAAAAAAAAAAAAAAAAAAAAAAGTTCCTCCCTACTGGGCACCATGGCTCACACCTATAATCCCAGCACTTTGGGAGGCTGAAGCAGGTGGATCACCTGAGGTTAGGAGTTTGAGACCAGCCTGACCAATATGGCAAAACCCCGTCTCTACTCAAAATACAAAAATTAGCCAGGAGTGGTGGTGCGTGCCTGTAATCCCAGCTACTGGTGGGGGCTGAGGCAGGAGAATCGCTTGAACCCAGGAGGTGGAGGTTGCAGTGAACCGAGATCTTGCCACTGCACTCCCAACTTGAACAACAGAGCAAGACTCCATCTCAGAAAAAAAAAAAAAAAAGTGTAGAGGCACACAGAGCCTGGGTTCAGATCTTAGCTGTGTCGCTTATGGGCTCTGTCACTTGGGGTATGTGACCTCACCTTCCCAAATCTGTTTTCTCATCTGCAAGATGAGCACGCTAAAACAAGATTAAAACAGGGATGAAAAGCAATCATATTTTTAGCCATAGTGTCTGGCACATAGTGCTCAATAAACAGTATCCTTCATTCTGAATGAAAGTGTTGTATGTTATTGCTATTGTTAGTAATAGCAACAACAATAGTGGTATTGGTTCTACTATTAATTTTAACCAATACTCTAGGCATAGTATGAGTTGATGACTTTGAATGAATGGATTTAGCAGATGTTCTCTTGGCTGGGCACGGTGGCTCATGCCTGTAATCCTAGCACTTTGGGAGGCCGAGGTGGGCAAATCATTTGAAATCAGGAATTCAAGACCAGCTTGGCCAAGATAGTGAAAAAAGTAACAGGCGGGACGCGGTGGCTCACGTCTGTAATCCCAGCACTTTGGGAGGCCAAGGTGGGCGGATCACCTGAGGTCAGGAGTTCCAGACCAGTCTGGCCAACGTGGTTAAATGCCCCCTCCACTAAAAATATAAAAATTAGCCAGCTGTCATGATGCATGCCTGTAATCACAGCTACTCAGGAGACTGAGGCAGGAGAATCGCTTGAACCCCAGAGGCAGAGGTTGCAGTGAGCCGAGATCATACCACTGCACTCCAGCCTGGGCAACAAAGTGAGACTCCGTCAAAAAAAAAAAAA